TCATCATGAAAATTAAAGAAACAGGAGAATTAATTGGTGGATATAATCCAGTTTGTTGGAATAATAAGAAAAAGTCACCTGATAAGGCTTATTGGATTAAAACAAATAAAAGTTTTATTTTCAAGATTGATCAAAACCAAATAAATAATTCAATTTTAAGTAAAGTCAGACTTTACAGAAGTGCAATACGTCATGACAGAAAAGTCCTAGATCATTTTGGTGATGATATTAAATTTCATGAAAAATTAGTTAATTTTCATAATTTATACATGTGTAACAGTATTAATAATGAACCTTATTGTTGTTATAGTGGGAACCCTTATTTTTCTTATCAAAATAATTTAAATATTGAAGAAAAATATTATTTGTTAGAAGAATTTGTAGTATATAAATTAGTAGAGATTTATTATTAAATTTTTATTTTTGTTCACAAAAATAATCAATTCTAAAACATATTAATAAATTTGTAAATGGGTTTAATAAAAAAAAACAATATATGGGCATGCTGCAACAAAACCAGACAAAGTGAACATTGGTATTACCAAGAATTTCAGGGATCAAAATTTAGTTATCATCAATCTCCAAAAGATTCAATTACATGATCTTAATGTGTATAAGGTTTAAAACAAAACAGTTTCTAATTTACAACATCCAGATAGTTTGTTAATTTTTATCAAATGTTTTTGGTATGAGAGCATATATATACAACTTGACAATAAATAATCAATTTTTTTTTTGAATTTTTCATCCTAACATTCATCATCTTTAAAATTAATATATTATTTATTATGCAAATAAATAAAATTTGTGTATATTATTAATATGTATAAAAATAATTCGGATTTCATATGCTATAAAAGATGCTATTTACAGAATAAAAAAAGTGATATGTATCTATTGACATAGTATTGATTTTTTTATTTTAGGAGAAATTAAAAGGATCAAGTGAGAAAATTATTATTTAAATAACCTTTTCAAGGATGATATTGATATTTCGGATAATAAAAAAAGAACCCTTTACAAGAAATCTAATAAATATTTCTGGGGCTTGTCATACAAATAGGTAACTGTTCTTGATTTTGGCAGTGTTTCCTTTTTAGACCTGCATCAACAAATGATGTTTGATCACAATTTTTTGATTGCGTGTTTAATGTTTCTTTAACAATGGTCTAAATTTACAAATGAATAATATTAACTATATGTTAATGGGGAATAAGAAAATACACAAATATCACAAATTCAACCTTCGCATTTAGAACTGCTGCTAGTATATGTAAAATTGATGGGAATTTTTCAGATGAATTGGGAACTTCAATCATTTCACTTCATTTTATTCTACAGATGTATCCCTTGGGTCTATCATTATCATGACCAAGCCTATAAATTAAAGTATTAATGAATATTGATGAACTTTTTTCAGAGATTAACATCAAAATCACAACAACAAAAAAAAAATACCAGTGTATTGTTCCAATTGTTTGTATTCTATCACATTGTGCACAGTGCACAATAAGACAAAATTTTTAAATATATTGCACAAATTAAATGAAAAATTTTTGCACAATTACATTTTTCTATATATAATGCACAAAAAAAAATTAAAAAAACTAAATTATTTACGATTTTTGTGCACACATGCACAAATTTGTGCAACATGCACAAAAATTGATCAACAAATTTTATACACTAACATTGTGTAGGATTCCAGGAAACCTTCTCCATTAATTTCATTAGCATGTCTTTTAAGTTTTTTGGGAGTTTTAAACTGAGTTCTTTTAAGAATTTTGCACCATACTTGGTTTCCCATTTTTTTCTACCTCGCCCATTCCAAATTCATCTTTATCACCATTGGTAATTGATCTTAATACCCAATCTCCATTTTTTCTGTGTGTTTGGTACCCTATTTCTGTTTTTTCTTAATGAACTGGCAATACTGTAACTTTCACCTCTTGGTTAAGAAATAAAACTTGTAAGTTTCATCAAAAATAAGTTGTATTCAAAAAATAAATAAAATTAAGTAAATTACCTAACAACCAAAATGGCTTTCATGTTATCAAAGGCCTGATCGAATATATAATTCCAAACATGACTGTTAAACCATGCTTCAAGGTTATCATTGTATAGCTTTCCACCTTCAATTTCTCATATTCTGTAAAAGTAATCAAATTCATGGTAATCATTAAGTAGATTCTAATTCATAAGGACTACAATAAAAGATTTACTTACAAAGCATGAATAGCAAATATAATGTAGTCAACATCTTGATCTTTTTCAAAATTATATTGATCACCAAAACTGACTTTCTTCAATATTCCTCTAATTTCACTTAGGTTAGTCTGCAATAAAAGACTTTGGGAATCATTAAAGTACACAAATGTTTACCAATCAATAAATAGATGGAATATTATTACCTTATTAGCAAATATACTTGGACAATATCAGTCAGTTTTAAGGTTGTGGGCAAAACCTCTTTAGCAATTGCTGAAACCTATATTAAATCTTATCAAAAATCCTGTTGAAACTATGCTGAAATGGTGAAACCTCTAATAAATAATTAATGTGTAACCTGCCAACATCCTGCTGATTGATTTCTGGATGAGTTTTAGCAAGCAACCTTAGTCAGTTTATGAAAAACAGGACCTGGTGTCGTATATATCTCTTCCAATTCTTTTTTGATGAAGTATTTATTATAATTTCATCATCAATGTTCAAAATGAATGAATGTATTGCACTAGAATATTAATTTGCAGTTAGAACTTCTGACACAATTACCAACTAACAAAGTCATTCATATGAATACCAAAACTGCATGTGAAACCCAGTTGTCAATTAATAAAAATGATGTAGATTGTGATTTTTATATAGGTTAAAACACATGATAATTAATCAAATGTGCAGCCTTGATCTATATATAGAAATTCGGCCATTATTATTATGGGTTTTGTAAAACTGTAAAAAGTCTACCATGCCCGTGTCGATCATTACCTTAAAAATTGATAAATTTTTTATTGTGCGATTTGGTTAATTTTGATTGGTGGAATTTTGTAATTTACCAATAAATTTTTCGAAATTCCCTTATTCAAAAATGTGGACAGTTTAACATCTACTCCATGAAAATTTTTGAGGCAGGTTGTTAATAAAACCATAAATAATCACAACCTTAAAGTTTTTTTTTGTTTCTGTGATCTCATGTGTAGAAAATTGTTATTTGTATTGATTGTGAACAAATAATTACTTTTTACAAGTAATTACAGTTCTTCAGCAAGGCATTCATTTTCCATAGTACCATCAAATTGGTTATTTTTTTAATGGCCTGTAATGTCTTCAATATTTTTGTAACTTGGTTTTAGGAAACACATTCATCATGAGTTCAGATTCCCTATAATCATTGGCATAAGAGGGAACATCACCTTCCCATTTTTCCCTTTTTAATGCTTTTACAAGTTCTTCTCCTAGTTCACATCCTACCTGAAAATCATGAATATCCATAGTGCTTTCAAATCTTTGCATTGTTACTTGTAATACTTCGCCTAGTTGGTTTCAATGGCATTGATAAGTGTTCTTTAGCAGAGATTGTTGTGTATCCAAAACATACTTCATTACACAACTTAGCAATCACTTTACTCTTTTTGATAATAATGTCACCTGAATTGGGTTTAATTAATTATTTTTATTTGTTCAGGTGTAGCTGGCTCATATGCCCCTTTGTATCCAGTAACTCATAGTCTTCTTTATACTTAGGGACTATTTGCATATAGAAGTGGGGTGAATTCTGACCTCCTAATTTTCCTACTCTGAAACTAAAATGATACCTCATTGGTTTATATACTTTGTCAATTTTGTTGATTGTATCTTTCAGCACTGGTAAGATATCTTACCTAGTTATTTCTTGTAAGTTTCCAGCATGACGTTTTGTACAGACTGCTGAATGAGCTTTAGTTAGTGATCTCAATACTAAACCAGAAAAACTTTTCCTCCAAAGTCTGATAATCAACATTTATACATTTTTTTTTCATGTACCTTAACATTATCACAAGTATGACAAACTATTCCACCTTTTTCTACACTTTTCATGCAAACATAACTGGGCATATTACCATCTTTTCAAGTAAAATGTTGATCTTGTTTAACTTTTTCAATTTCTTTTTGGCAATTATGACATTGAGAACATTTATGCCCTTAACTATCTTCATAAGCAGTAATATCTCACTCCAACATAATTTTGCATTGTGGACAATATGTAGTGAACCTATCCATCTCCCATTGCCTTTGTCATTTAACCTTCTCATCCTAAAAGGTCAGTAAAAATTTTCTTTATTTTTAATCTTGGTTAAGGCTTCCCTAAAGATCTTTTTTTTATTCTTTCTCAATCAGCAATTCCTTTTGAATTAGATTTTGAGAACAATCTCAACAGCAAAATTCCATATGTTCTCCATTTTCTTCATCTCATCAATTAACAGTTAAGCCTTTTTTTATGTTGTGACAATTAAAACATTCTTTTTTACTCATGATTACTTTTAATATAGTAAGTTTTAAGGGGAAAAAAAGCAAAATAACCATTTAAAAACAAAAAGAACTTTTTAATTCACAGTGAGAGTCTGGAACATTAATACTGTGTTTAGAAATCTCATTAATAAAAGCTGGAATAGATGGTAGGTTTGTTTGTATTAAATTTTTTTGTCTAGATATTTTTGCCTTTTGTTTTGTAATGGTACATCATTATCCTGCTTTCTTTTCTTAATATTTATTATTTTTCATTCTTCTTGATAAATTTCATAGGTAATCTTTTCTTTCCTTTGATAAGCTTCTAGTGCCTCGATATCATTTATTTTGAAAATGTAAGATGCAATTGTTCTTTTTTCAAGATACTTCTAATGGTGCTGTAATTCTTGGGTTCCATAGTAGACCTAATGTAAATGAGTTTCATATTAATTATTTTTATATAGGAGTAATCCTATATATCACTTGATATGAAGGAAAAAAACAAAGAAGATAACAAACAAATGAGAGATTTTAATAATCACATTACAAATTTTGATCCCTGAAATTTTTGGTAATACCAATGTTCACTTTGTCTGGTTTTGTTACAGTATGCCCCAAATTATCAAAATATGCAGTATATTTTTATTTTATATATAACACATTTAAATACTGAACAAATTTGGACAAAATTATTAATTTCATAAATAAAAAGAAAATGATTTCTAATATTTTCTTTCTATCAAATTCCAAATTTTTCTTTATTAAAAGATTTTCAATAAAAAAAGTTTTTGTAAACAACTTTCAATCTTCTTCCATCGCCTCATATTCTTCATCTAATAATGATAATTCTATTGATTCGAGTAATTCAGAAACTTCTGCAAACAAAGATGATTATGATAGTAGTAATAGTTTATCAGTAACGAAATTGTTAAATACCTTGGAACCACCTAAAATAATAGAACTAATACGTAAAAGGTATGAAAATAGAGATAAATATGGTGATGTCAAATATAACTTTAAATTTGACAACAACGACAATAATTCTACTACTAGAAGTAAATATAGTGAAGCTGCTGTGTTAATGGTAAAAATATACACATTCTATGCTTTGCATTTTTAACTTTTTTTTTTTTTTTTGTTTTCCTCCTTCTTATTTAAGAATAGCCTTTTTGTATAATAGATGATAAATTAAGTGTGTTATTTACCGTCAGAAGTAGCAACTTGAGTACTCATAAAGGTGAAGTAAGGTAACAACAAATAATGATAATAGTAATAATAATAACAATAATTGCTGCAATTATAAACTTATATACGTAAATACATTGAAAGTTTTCCAGGTGGAAAAAAAGATTTGTCAGATTCATCATTGATTTCAACAGTTTTACGTGAAACTTATGAAGAAATCAATGTAGAATCAAAATATATTGATATAATTGGCCAAGAGATAGATTTACCAAACGTTCAACACACTTTAAAAGTTACACCGTTTATCGGTTTCATTAATTTTCCAAAGAATAAATCAACAACAATTGTCATTAATGAGATGATAAAATTTGATAATAAAGAAGTTGATGAAGTGTTCACTGTTACACTAGAAGATTTATTAGATCCAAATAAAAAATTTATAAGACAATTTAGAAAGTCTAAAATAAAATATTCGGTAAATGGATGGATTGATTGATGGAAGTTTAGAATATTTGATTGATTAATTAATTAATTAATTAATTAATTTTTTAATTTATTTATTTTATTTATTTATGAAATTCTCCTTTGAAAGGTGTTCCAATCACCGCCTTGGATTGGATTAGAAATTTGGGGATTAACTGCATTTATTATT